ATCGAAAAGGAGCTTTAAACCGTATCGCTGATGCTTTGTCCAGAAATCCGTTGCCAGAAATACAAACTATGTCAGACACACCAGATGTGTGCGCCGTGGATGAAGATACCAACTGCAAATGGTATTTATCTAAGAAAGCCGAGGTTGAAAGAAACCCTATGGATTATCCGGATTTTTGCATCAAAGAAAATCGTCTATATCGTCACTTTTGGGACATAAATGATTACAAAGAACCAGAACTGTCAGATCCATGGAAATTGTGTGTACCAAAGCCGCAAAGAGACCGAGTTTTGAAAGAGAACCATGATGCGCCGACCGCAGGCCATGCCGGAATCGCCAAAACTATCACCCGCATCGCCAGGCAATATTATTGGCCAGGAATGTTCCGAGACATTACCAAGTATGTTCGAAGTTGTTTGCAATGTCAAAAATACAAACCGTCACAACAACAGACACCTGGAAAAATGAACCCGTCACCGAATCGACAACCATGGGAGGTTGTTAGCACAGACCTTGTTGGACCACTACCCCGGAGTAAAAGGGGTAATGCATACATCGTCATGTTTATGGATAGATTTACCAAATGGGTACAATGCAAAGCCATCCGCACTGCCACTGCAAAGAACGTGAGCACCGTATTTTACGACATCGTCACCACTTTTGGATGTCCAAAAGAAGTCATAACCGATAATGGTACACAGTACACCAGTAAACTCTTTGAATCCGTTCTAAAAGAGTTAGGAATCCGTCATCGATGTACACCGGCTTACACACCGCAAGCTAACCCCGTAGAACGAGCAAACCGAACCATAAAAACCATGATAGCCCAATTTTGCGAGGGCAATCATCAAGATTGGGACCTTCATTTATCTGATTTAAAGTTTGCAATCAACACATCCCGTCACGAGTCAATTGGTTTTTCTCCAGCATTCTTAAATTTTGGGAGGGAGTTAGTCATCCCCAAATCCCTACGACAAGAAGTTGAGACCAGTAACCAATCCGCCGAAACCGAACCGCTTGATGAGGAAAGTCCCGAAAATTTTGTCAAGAGACTAGGAAAACTCAAAGAGTGTTTTGACCTAGCCCGTCTCAACCTGTCCCGAGCTTTTACCTCGCAGGCTCATTACTACAATCTGCGTCGACGAGACTGGAGGTGCACTATTGGTGATCTAGTGATGAAGCGCGAACATACATTGTCATCAGCCGTAGATCATGTGGCCGCCAAATTAGCTCCGAAATACTCCGGTCCGTACACCGTTGTCAAAGTCGTGTCTCCCGTCGTCTACAACCTAAAAGATGCTTCAGGAAAGAGACTTAATCAGGTGCACATAAAAGACCTGAAACCGGCCGTCGAGTCAGATTAGACACGAACCTCACCCACCGTCACCGCCCCTGTACCGTCTGGAAGGTACCGATCAATTGGAGTACAGGTAGACCTACGTCCACCACGCCGTAATATCGGCCTTCAATGTTTCCGACAACGGTAGTTCCGAGTCCGACGATATGGTATGTTATGGAAATGGTATGGTTTTGACTCCGGAACCGAAGAAAGAAGATTGGGAAGATTATATTTTTTTTTTGAAGTTGTAAATTTTAGTAGTTTTTGTAACAGTTAGGTAGGCGGATAAAAGGAAAAATAAAGGCAAACGATGTTCACCTTTATTTTTCTTTCCGAAGTGAGGGGGGGATGTAATGAAGTCATTTTTCATTACTATTTTTTTTTTATTCAATTGCCGAATTAGTATTCTTATTAATAATTTTAAATCTAACTTTCATTAGAATCCGGCATGTCAATTTAATAAAATTAATTATTCGTTACTATTATAATTTATAAATCAACTTTTTGGCTTCACCCTGTATCTATTATTTTGAAATATATAATAATCCGAAAATTTATAGTATTTTCACAATATAGCAATGGTTTTAAAAAGTCATTTTAAACCAGGGTTTTGAATTTATATTATAGAAAATTGTAGTTTTGGGAATTTATTATTTTTAATATTTTTACACGATAACGAACGCCGGCAGCAAGCACCGTCCCCTTCTCGAGTACCTTTTCCCACTTAAGTTGATCATGCGTGGAACATTGGTAAATATTTTTGACCCGAGTACGAGACCATGGCGAGAGAAATTTTTAATTCCATTCCGAGCGATCGAAAGAGTCAGTCGACAAAAATAGCAGCACCGCGAGCTAAAACCATATTTACCGCAGTTAGTACAAAAAACCCGTTTTTATTTTTTTTGCCGTAGTATCGAGTTTAGATAGGAATTAAAACCGAATTAAATTAGTATATTTAAACACCGTTTGAGATCACATTTTAACACGTAAATAATTTTGTAAAAATTCCGAAATTTAATAATTAAATTAACAGTCGAAGAATAGTTTCTTGTTTTGATATTGACCGTGTTTATTTTTTTTTATTATCGTCTTCGAACGGTGAGGACTGCTTCCGTTATAAATTGACTTTGTAAATAGAATTATTAAATAAGTAAATTGGGAAAAGATAGGAATTTTTTAAATTTAGATAGACTTTTAAAAGAATAGATTTGTTAAATTCCTATTTGTGGGAAATAAGGGAATTAAATATTTTTTTGTTGGTTTAGTTTGACTGTTCGCGATATTTTTTTTACTAAAAGGGAGGGTATCATTTCCTGTTTTGAATATAAAATTTCCGTTCCTTTATTTTTCCTTCCTGTCTATTCCCAAATAACTCACTGAGGGCTTAAAGTTCCGTGTGTTAATTTTCCTTCCTGTCTATTCCCAAATAACTCACTGAGGGCTTAAAGTTCCGTGTGTTATTTTCGTTCCTAGCTTTCCGCAATTAACTCACTGAGGGCTTAAAGTTCCGTGTGTTAATTTTCCTTCCTGTCTATTCCCAAATAACTCACTGAGGGCTTAAAGTTCCGTGTGTTATTTTCGTTCCTAGCTTTCCGCAATTAACTCACTGAGGGCTTAAAGTTCCGTGTGTTAATTTTCCTTCCTGTCTATTCCCAAATAACTCACTGAGGGCTTAAAGTTCCGTGTGTTATTTTCGTTCCTAGCTTTCCGCAATTAACTTACTGAGGGCTTAAAGTTCCGTGTGTTAATTTTCCTTCTTGTCTATTCCCAAATAACTCACTGAGGGCTTAAAGTTCCGTGTGTTATTTTTCTTCCTAGATATCCTTGTCCGACTTGGGGTTATAATAATAAATAACAATAAGAGGTAGTGTGGGTTTGATTCACCGTAGCTTGCTCATTGTATTCAGGGGTTTTAAAAACGAAACAAACATTTAGAAAGATTTCGAGTGGTCCTCACGAGTTACAGAAGTGCCGAAGTTTAATTTTTTATTCATACTAGCCTTGATTTAAATTTTGATTTACTACCGTAAATTTTGGAATTTTTAAAACTAATATCCTTGATTAAAATTTTGATTTGCTTTGCGATTTAAACAATTACCGTAAATTTAAATTGTTGAATCCGTATTATCCATGATTTACAATTAGATTATTTTTTTTCTCGATTTGAGAGTAATTGCCGTAAATTTAGAATTCATATTATCCGAGATTTAAATTTTGACCTTAGTCTGAGATTTCCGAATACAATTTTTTTTGTATACGCGACCCCTTTACCGTATCCAGTTTAAGCAGTCTGATTGAGAATACCTGCCAACTATATCAGCCGTTCGTTACCGTTTTGCCATTGCTTCATTTTTTTTTTGTTCAGGGTTTCATAACCGAGGGTGGGCGTTGAAATATCTTATTTTTATTTTTTTTAGTGTATATAGTTAAAATCAATATATGTGTCAAAATTACCGTGACTATTACTGAGTTTACTGATCACCAATTTACTTCCCCCTTATTTTTCAGCAGTGAAAAATTCTTTGCAACCACAAGTAGTGATTAAAGCCCATTATTTGTGGCTACTAATTATTTGAGTCTAAGTAACCTTTGACCCCTGGTATTTTTCATCTCAATCTGTGCTGCCCGAGTACTTTCGACGCTGTTTCGAGAGTTTGTGGAGTAAACCATCACCAAAAATCTGGCGCTCGAGAACCGTCCGTAACCAGCGTCATTCGTAAGGAACCGTTTTCTCTGAGGCGAGAAAACCCCTTACACATTCCTAAGTAAACGAGCTCAAACTAATTTGTTATCAAAAGAGCCAATTACCTTAATGTGTAGTAATGCAAACAAACTATCAGATATTTGTGATATTTTCTGTTGCAGTATATGTGAATTAAAAAACAAATCAAGAGCTTATCTTTGAATTCATATTAATTTTTTACTATTTTCTATTTTTTACTTTTATTATAATTTATTTACTTATCTTATGTATTTTCTTAGTTTAATTTTATATTGTTAAATTTCCCTTGTAAATGGGAAACTGTTGGGCAATAAATGCTTTTATTATTATTATTATTATTATTATTATTATTATTATTATTATTATTTATTATTATGTGATTTTTTTAATATAAAATATTTTTTTTAACCATCTTGCTTTGGATTGGGATTAGCACAGGTGCCATTTGGTAAAGAACATTGTTTTTACATGCTTTTGGGGAATATTTCATTTCGTTATCAGATGACAGTAAAAATTTGCAGTGGGCTCTTGAGCTATTATGATTTGATTCCGTATGCGTCAGGGATACAAATCCAAGTTGCGCAATGAACTGATTTTTTAGCTATAAACTGTGCCCATGTTTCAAAAGTGACACAACTCAACAGTGACATTATGCATGAAATCAAGATACTTTTTGGTATTAGGAAGAGCATTCCATTGTAACGGTTACAGTTCAGTGACCAGGGAACAAAATCTGCAATAATTCTAGATGAGGTAAATCGCAGCCAAGAAGCAAGGAATTCATGTACCCTCAATTACGTACCGTCCAAAATGGTGCATTTATTTGCTCGTCGCATGCCACACAGGCATCCACATAGAAGCAAGCCTCGCTTCAATATACGGTTTTTACAATGAAAAATTAAGCTTTATCTAAAATTGTGTAAAAAAATTAATATTTACCTATCTCTGATGCAGGACTTTGAGATACAATAAAATTGGTAGGATGTTGGTAAATAACGTGAGTTGTGATCAATGGAGTAACATCTGTGATGACAGTTGCAGTACTCGAAGGTGAAGTACTGATAGGTTGCAACGATTTTGGTTGATCCGCCTCTATTTTAATTAAAGTCGTCGCGGGTATCTGCAACGGAATCTTACGCTTGTTGTCTGTGGTTACAGCCACTAAACGAGTACTGTGTGCCTGTGTTTGTTGGTGGAACGAAGTACCAGAAAAACAATGAGAAGCTCCTGGAGGAAGTAGTTGGAAAGATGGTGATGGGACTGGTGGCAGAGATGGCAATATTACTGACGAATGTTGGGGATATCCTGGCCAAACGACAGTTTGTTGTAAAGAATCTAAAACAAATATCATTATTTTAATTCGTTTTTAGCAATAAAAACCTGGAAACGAAATTTATTAGAGTTTCTTTAAAATACAATGATATATCAATTTGTTTAAATACGACTGTCTGTATTTAAACACTTACAACTAATAAAACATAAGCCGGCCGTCTCATACTAAAAATTTATTGAAGCAACAATTTTCAAATGCTACGCAGATTCGCAACAAGGCCAACATAGAGCAGAAACTAAAAAACGTCCAACCATACTATTAAACGTATCGTGGCTTAACAGAGACATAAATATAAATATTTCATTCTCTGTAATACATAAATAAAAATGTTAACATAGTCGTTAGTACACATAAATAATGGTAAAATACTCATTTTACATACATTAACATATAGCATATAAAATTTAAAATAAAATAAGATTTAAAAGATCATGGTTGGTAATAGTAGTAAAAAATAAAAAATATAAAAAATACAGTAATAAAAATATAGGGTGACATGTTTCACTCATACTGCTTAATCGTTAATGTTATATAGACACATGCCCAGTAATATATTTTTAATTTACTGTTTAAAACTCTTTTCCTGGTAGATTACCGATGTAGGGCGGAACTGCATTATAGAATGAAATTCAGGACTTGTTTATTCTAGTTCTTGTTTGGATTAGCTAATTTTTCCCTCTAGTATGGTATGTATTATTGAGTGACATGTGGTTTCCCAAATTATTTTTTATGGCTAGCAAATTTTCAAATACTATTTGTGAAAACAGGGTCATTATGCTAAGTTGTTTAAATAGTGGTATAGAGCGAACTGCTGATTTTTGCAAGATAAAAAGTATTTCCCCAAGTTAGAATCCCATATGTTAAACTGGAATGGAATAAGCCAAAATAAGTAGTTATTGCTGCTTCTGTATTGTCTATATTTGATATTCTACATAGAGCAAATGTGAATTTTGCCAACTTGTTGCATGCGTTATTTATTTGACAGTTCCATGTAAGTTGTGTGTCAAAATATATACCGAGAAAGTTAATTGTTCATTGCTTCACTAGTAGTTTGGTTTAGCTGATAAGTCCAGAACGGGACAGGGGAAGACTTAACAAAAACTTGCCAGGTCAGATTCATCTCTTAGCTAGATTGCTTGGGCCGCCCACGCTTATCGTCTCACCTCCCGCGGCTTACCATACAAACAAATAAAGCAAAATTATATGAAGTGTGGCAACACTCTTCGTACCGAATCACGGATATCTCCCGCGTAATGTATTATTGTGCCAGCAGTTTCTTTTGGCGGCGATATAAACTAAAGAAATATTGTAGTATCGCAAATAGACCCTGTAATTTAAGTCAATTACATGATAGTTGAATTTTTTTATTGTTACTTTTAATTAATTTTTTAATTTTTTCTTTTATTTTTATCACGTTTGAGTAGTTAAAGTGATGATTTTGAACTTTTCCGAAATGTCGACTAATCACAATATGTTGGTACATCATTGTATTCGATATGCATTAAAGTGATAAGTCGAAATCGAAGTAGTACTGATCTATAAATAAAAGTTGAAGGTAGCCTAGTATTTACGAAACATCAAATAAAAAAATTCAATATTCACACATTCGCACAACTTGATAGAAAACAAAAAGCCTGAAATGAGTTGTTGTCTATTTTTGAAAATATATGAACTTTAGTAAAGAAATTGAACATAATTTGTTTTTTATTGAATATCTCGATTGATATTTTCGTTTTCAAAATGGGCTTAAATATACAACCTTTTCTCAATTTAACCAACTTTGTGCCACTAATGGTTTACGAGATAGCAACATATTTCAATTAAAAAGTGGCTAACCAGTATGGACTTAAATAATCATAGCGGTAAAATATTTTGCAAAAAGAAGAAATATTGGTCTACCTTTTCTGCAGAAATTTCTACACAAAATAAATACGTTTTAAAATTTTGAAAAAGATACAAACCTAGTCCACTAGTGGATACAAGCAGATAACCACCTGTATTGGGATCACGTACTACTAAGGGAGGCACAGGAACTGGAAGTATTGGTTCAACTGGAATGGGCGCAACTGGTGCTAAAATAAAATAAATTTAAATTAAACACAAAATACAACATAATCATAGGAAACTTACTAGAATATTGCCACATTGTCGGAGAAGCCATATAAGAAGTTTCTTCCATGTGTCTTGTCCCGATTCCAGATGTTTTATCATCTATACAGTGTATCATGGCACTATCTGTTTGACTGCTAGTCATTGTTGTTGAGTTTACAGACATTGTATTGGCAGATCGAGAAGGTTCTAAAATAGTAAAATAAAAGTTTTATATAATTAAATTATTATCAAAACATGTGAAATGGAAATCAAACCTATCCCAAAAACTTTCCATCTAGGGAAAACAAAATGACTGCATTATATGTATACCTTATTTGAGACATTTTATTTCCTTGAATAAATAACTTACCTGTTAAGCTGACGTAGTTACCTCCAATAATATCTGTAGTTTGTGTAGGAGACATAACCTCTAATTTAATCATTGATGCACTATTTGTGCTGATTTCTGATATCTGCCCTAATGGTTCTTTTTTCAGGTTAATTTCATTCCATTTAATAGGAGTAGTTCTAGTACAGCACTGAATCGGATCTGTTAACTTATGTTCAGGAATTATTACCTAAATTAAAACAAAATAAAATGTCAGAAATTTATTTAGATGCTTTTCCAAATAAATTAATTAAAGTCTTAAAATCATATGTGACTAAATTAAGACAGAACGTCGAAAGCGGCAACAAACTTTTCGCACAAAATGCACACAAGATTTTTTCTACGATCACATTAGTTTAAGAAGTGTTCCATTAGTGCCTAATTGTTCAATATTTTAATTTATGTTATATACACGCAAAAAAGTTTCACTTAAAAGTTATATGGATTTGAAAAATACATATTTGTAACAATATTTTTTAAATTTCATTTTATTTTTTAAAATGGTTTGGTAATACTGCTTTCGACCCTAGAATGTTTTTAAAAAATATTACAGTGGTGCCAAGCAATTAATTTTTTTTTTTTTTTAATTAGAGAATGATGCAGACCCCAAATAAAAATTATCATAATTTAGGTAGGGTTACATTGATTTCAAAATTATTTAATATACAGACTTATAAGATACTAAGCTAACGAATAGTGGTGATTGGACTGGTTTATTTTATACAGAGTGTTTTGAAAAATGTCTTAAATATAGTTAATTTTAAGTTCAATTCATCATTTTTTTTTTTAATGCAATACCCTGTACATCATTTAAGCATAAAATTCGTTATAAATTTACCTATCCAATGATACCAACATGTTAGCCAATAACACATAAACAGGGTGTACCATCAGTGCATAATTGATCGATAGCTGTTTTATTATTGGAAATACGAAAAAAAAAAAAATATATGACCATGTTCAATAAATATTCTTAAATATACAGGGTGGTCCATAAACGAGGGGCTAACCAAACTTATACATTTTTAAAGTAAAACACCATGAAGGTAGTTACATATATTTGATTGTTTTCACATAGTCAAAGAATTATAAAATTAATTGCTTGGCAAAACTAATATTTTTTTTTAAAACATTCTAGGGTTGAATACAGTATTACTAAACCATTCTAAAAATAAAATACAGGGTGTTCTATTTTAAAAAACACATTTTTATTTACCAGGCAAAAACGCAACGCCCTGTATATCCAAAAATATTTTTAAAACATGTATTTTTCTAATCTATATAACTTTTATTTAAAACTTTTTTGCGTGGCTATAACAAAAATTGAAATATTGAACAATTACGCACTAAGGGGACACCCTAAGTGAAAATGTGATGTAAATAGTGTTGTCTACATTATTCATGAAAAAAGGAGTTGATATTAAAATTTAATGTTAACTTGGATAATAAAACATACATACAAATAACTTGAAAATCATTTAATAAAAAAATGTATTATTTATTACACTAGGATTCTGTGCAGTATATAATTTGGCCGTCGAAATAATCAACTGCGCAGAATCCTGGTGTGAGTGACTGGTTTCTGATCATTGTTGGAACAGGAGCAGACCTCTATACAATATTGTAAAACTATAATTGTGATACTAGATGACATTCGTTTTGTAGTTGTGGTTCTTGTTAGCGATGATCTTTTGAAATTGAATAGATTAGAAATTCATATTGAAAATATGAATAATAACTTAAAATTTGCAAGGATTCCAAAGACTATTTGTGAAAAAAAATAACCAACATACTACAAATATGGTTTGTAAAACAAATACAATCCATCAATAATAGGTATTAATTTGAAGAAATTCTTCTCCAGTTATAAATTTTATGAAACGTTTATATATAATTGCACCATCACCTAATATTATTAAGAGTATTGTTTGGTATTTTGGACATTTCTACATTCCGAAAACAACCTTGGTATCAAATAGGTGTAAAAAAACAATAAGATAAAATTATTGTGAAAAATCAAAAAATAAGACAGTTTACTGACCCTTTAGGTTTTACGACGGCTGTTCTGTAAAATTTTAGTATTGGTTACACTTGGTGAGTCCATTTGATAGTTAATTGTTGAGGCCTATTCGTTTTGAGTGTTCAGTTAAAGTTTTATGAGATCAAAGTTAGGCATATAAACGAAGGTAGAAGAAGCAACGATAGTCTTTTTCATTAGCTATAATTAGTTATTGGTTTCGAGGATCCTGGTTGGTGTACATATTCTACTTTCAATATTTTTACTAAAATTCCATAATATTAATATTGGTGTTTTATTTGTTCAAAAAGCATAAAATATTTTGATGCAGTGCAATCATTATGTAATATATTTAAATTATAGAACATATAATAGATATTTTCGTTTTATTTAGGCATATAAGTCGTCCTGGTGCGCCTCGGTAAATAATAATGCCCTTCCCAACACTCCAAAACTCTATTGATTGAGCGGAGCAAAGTGAGATCAACTAAATGTATTTTATTATGTACAAAACAAATAAGATTACAAAGGTAAGAATAAATAATAGATAAATAATTTAACTGACCTGACAATTGCAAACTTGAGATTTGAAATTGCAGCATTTTTCACAATATTTATCTTGAATCTTCTTAGTGGTTTGAAGGATTCCCCCGTCAATTGGCTGGAGAATTCCAGTATTCATGCCTTTGGCGAATAATTCCAGTTGTCCAACAGGAACCGGAGAGTAAGGAGAGCCAGGAGGGGGAGTAGGAGCACCAAATGTGTAACTTGTTGTTGAAAAAAGTGAATCTGAAACTGATGTAAATGTGTCGTATTATAATGTGTTTTAGGATAATCACACAAGTAAATAAATGATTTAATCATAATCTTAGATTAAAGATAATATGAGGAGCTTTGATGCAAAACTGAATAAATCCACCATAAACAGTTTTTTTTGGAAATACGAATTTTCAATTGCACAAAAACTACCGTTTTTTGTTAGATAATAATAATGGCGACGTCTTAAACAGTTCATGCTGTGATTTTGTTTTAAATTTGTTAATGAATATCTACAACATTTTAGTTAAAGCAGAATACTCTCTATTGGGTTTGAATTCATTACTCAATTAACTATTTAAATTCATTAATTGGTACTATAATCTTGTTGAATCCGGCAATGTGCGATATGGAGCATGCTCACTATCCTATTTAATTTTTATGTCAATGCAACTATTTTTTAAATTTGATATAATTGATCATTGCTATTATGTATTTGTATTTGATTTTAAATTATTTGTTATACCTTTGTTGCCTATAGGTGTACATTCAGCTGCAGCTTTTTCATGTGTGCGACTTGCTATAAACATGTAATGTAAAATGTAATGTAAAATAAAATTTACTTTACTTAATAATACATCTTTTGCAATTATAATTTTGAAAAATTATTTTTATAACAACCAAAAATGGATTTATTTAGTTTTGCTGAAATCAAAAAACAAAACTACGAGCACTACTATAACATAAAAACAACTCAAAATAAATAAATATCTCTTACAAACTGCTTTTAAAGTGCAGTGAACGCCGGTACGTTGTTTTTTACACTACTCTAATAGTGAATTTATCCGGATTTGCACGAAAACATCGTTTTCGACTATGATTTCGAATTTTTCTCGAACAAGTAGTCTATAAAGATGTAATTTAACGAAGTCAGTTGAAATTCGCTGCTAATTTAATTTTCATAAAAAGTTGATTTATTCAAAAAATGATAATAATCCTAACCGTAGCAGAATTTTATATAAATAAAAAGTTCACTGGTTTATTCGGTCGTTTTTATTGTTTTTATAAAATTTAGGTACAGACACTGCATATGTTTCGGAAACACTGTTCCATCTTCTGGTGCCAGTTAAAAATCTAACTAAAAACATAAAATCTGTAAATATTCCAGTTCACCAAATCTTAACTTCAAACATTTAGAGAGCGATTTTTTTTATTGAAGTTATCCACATGTAGCTAATATATTGTTACGGAGCACCCTGTAGCGTGCTGCGGTCGTCATAAGTAAAGGTACGAGTAAGTAAAAAAGATAGAATATTCCCGAAATGTCTCGAAATGTCATTCCTTGTCAAAGAAAAGCCGATTGTTCGAGAAGGTTTTAGAAGGTCGAGGCAAGCTATATAAGTCGACGACCTGACGTCAGTTGGCAGTTGTATGATAGACGTTACATGTGAATGTTATCAGTTGTATCGTTATTGTTAAAGTTGAATTGAATTATTGTAAACATTGTGTAACATTGGTGTCAGAAGTGGGATACAAAGTAGAAGTTCATGATAAATACTAGATCCACTGAGTACGAAGCAGGCACGGGCACTTCAGGACCACCAGCATGGTTTTTGAGGATGGAAGAGGAAAGAGTAAGACGAGAAGAGGAAAAGGAAAGGCATAGGAAGGAAGAAGAGGAGGAAAAGGAACGGCGTAGGAAGGAAGAAGAGGAGAAGGAAAAGCGTAGGAAGGAAGAGGGGGAAAAGGAACGGCGAGAAGAGGAGACGGAAACGCGTAGGAAAGAAGAGGAGGAAAAGAAACGGCGTAGGAAGGAAGAAGAGGAGGAAAAGGAAAGGCGTAGGAAGGAAGAGGAGGAGGAAAAAGAAAGGCGTAGGAAAGCTGAGGTAGAAATTATAAATGGTTTGATACAAATCCAGGGAACCTTCAAGCAAGAGGTTAGTCAGTTTAAAATTAGAATAGATCTGCTAGAGCAACAACAAGAGCATCTAAAAGCTAATTTAGAGAAACAGCAAGAGAATTTGAAAGCTAATTTAGAACAACAAGAACAGGCTAGACTAGAGTTGGAAAGGCAAATTAGAGCCGAAATGGCTGAGTTAGAAAAAAGAATTTACAGCCAAGCTTCAGTAAACAGCATTGAAGCTGCAAACACTACTACCTCGTCTTCATCCATAACCAAACCAAGCCACATTCGAATCCCAGTTTCACAAAACTATACTAGCAAGACCCTCAAGCCATCCACGTTTGACGGTCAGACAACATGGGAATCATATCGACTCCAATTTGAAGCTACAGCTAGAGCCAATGGCTGGACCGAGAAAGAGATGGCGGCTTCATTAATAGTGTCACTGCAAGGTCAGGCAGCAACCGTTTTACAGTTACTTCTTTAAGAGGAACCCAGTTATTCATCTCTCGTCCAAGCTTTGGAGACAAGATATGGCTAGCAGCATTTGCAACGGGTATTCCAAAGCCAGCTAAAGGTTCGTAGTCAGAAACATGAGAGTCTACAGGAATTTGAGGCTGACATAAGAAGGTTGATTCATCTGGCCTATCCACAGGTGATGAAAGATTTCCAAGAACAACTGGGAATACAAGCATTCATTGATGGACTACAAGATGTGGAAATGCAGCAAGTCCTTCGTCTACGACATCACAAGACGCTGAGGGAGAAACTGATTGCAGCTCAGGAATATGAAGCGGTGAAACTCCTATCCAGATCTTCTCGCGCAAAAATAAGAGAAATTAAATCCCAGGAAAGTGAGGAAGCCAATAGTAATGCTATTCCCCAACCTACCCTCTCGCAAATATTAAATATCCTGCAAAATATGCAACGAAATAGTCAAAATAAGAACAGAAGATGCTTCAATTGCGGAAGAAACGGGCACCTTCAAAGAACCTGTAGAAGCAGAGCTCGTTTTATGAATAGAAAAGCAGGGAATGGGGCCGGAAAGTCACATAGATCAATCTTCCGAAGCCCGTCACGAAGTCCGACAAGAAATAGTCACAGTAGTTATGCGTCCCGAAAAAAGTCAATCACCCACACTGAGCCGGGTTTCTAGCAATAATCAGTAAGTAGAGCATCGTAGAAGCCTTCTCCATAGCAACGCAGACATTCTCTCCAGGCGACCCTGTTTAGAACGAGAATGCCGGTATAGTAAGGGGCTCGGAGACAAGAGGAACCAGTTGATAAAGTTACCCTTCGGGCAACCACTATCAAACTAGAGATGAAGAAGAAATCACCCTTGAAAGCCTGAGAAAGGGACAGAAGAAAGACAATGATTTGAAAGTTGTTCGAGAATGGCTCAAAAATAAAGTTACACCTACTTGGCAAGAGATAGCCAAATACATTGGAGCTATTAAAGGGTACTGGACTCGGTGGGATTCCCTGTATCTTCACGATGGCCTATTGCACCGGAAGTGGGAAAGCCCTGATGGAGTACATGGAGTCCGCCAAATGGTACTGCCAAAATCACATATCAGAAGTGTGTTGGAGGAACTTCATTGTAGCCATTCGGGAGGACATTTTGTTACTAAAAGAACACTGGCACGAGTTCGGGAAAGATTTTATTGGGTCAATTGCCGACGGGATGTAGCGGATTGGTGTAAAAAATGTGATGTATGCAATGGCAGGACAAATGTCTACGGATTCGCTCGGGATCGACTGGAAGCCAACAGCGATAAATCAGAAGCTAGAATCGACAGGCGTGCCACAGGGACACATTTTGAGAGAGGTGACCGAGTACGGCTGTACACTCCCAAACATCGAGGAGGATTTTGCCAGAAATCGCAACGAAACTGGGAAGACCCCTACGCCGTCCTTAAGGAAGATCAATGACCTGATCTACCGCATTCAGGTGTCAGCGGGATGTAAATCCAAGGTAGTTCACATTGGGAAGTTAACGCCATGCCGCCAGATCCTTCCCGTTAGCTCTAACCGGGTCCCAGTAATCAAGTTATTTGGGGCAAATAACTAGAGAGGGAGCAATGTTATACAGCACCCTGTAGCGTGCTGCGCTCGTCATAAGTAAAGGTACGAGTAAGTAAAGAAGATAGAATATTCCCGAAATGTCATTCCTTGTCAAAGAAAAGTCCAGATTGTTCGAGAAGGTTTTAGAAGGTCGAGGCAAGCTATATAAGTCGACGACGTGACGTCAGTTGGCAGTTGTATGATAGACGTTACATGTGAATGTTATCAGTTGTATCGTTATTGTTAAAGTTGAATTGAATTATTGTAAAGTTGAATTGAAATAAATTGTGATACCAAAAGCCAATGTAACAATATCTGTGTTTTTTGAAAACTTTAATATTTTTAAAATAGTAAGATAACCGTGTAATCCAAGGTCACAATAAAAATATTGTAATTAATTGTAAAATGCCTAAATAAATACCAGGGTCATCAACACCTAAGATAAAAAGTAGATCTGGTATTAATTAGGATAGGACTAATTTTATATGTTGGTAAGTTTTATTACGTTATTTAATCAAAATATCTTACCTTTGTATGAAGTATGAAAAATATTTTCAGAGGGAGGCTGATACTGTCCTGCAGCAGCAAAACGACCTGTGGTGCTACTAGTACTAGAATGAGAATATAAGGTGCTTCCAAAACTGGGTCCGCCGGGAAATAAGGAGTATACTCCATATTTGTTAAATCCTAAAAAAATGTAATAAGTATAAACAGAGTATGAATCAAAAAATAATTTCTCTTGAATTAATGTTTAGTTATAGGTGTTTCAACTTCAATCAAATTTCATATAAACACAAAAGACAATATGACTATAACATGAGCGTCGTCTGTAAAACAACCTAGAATTATCAAACGCAAACGAGAGCAACCAGACCAGCGATGCGAAGCTCTGAAATATAAATCCCGTCGCTCGACGCAACGCTATCGCATCGCCTCGCTCGCCGCTCCTACTCTGAACAAGGCTTAACTGCTATACTCTTCTGACCATTAAATAAGTACCTAGACAGGTAATATGATATTTCATGCTCAACAACAACATGTTACAAACTTGAAGATTTGGCCATTAGCTGATTGATCAATCGTTTGTAAAGTAAACAAGGTAGGTAGCAGTAATTTTATAAATGATTTATTTGAGCAAATTTCTGTAACATTTTATGAAATTTAGGCACTGATCTGTAACACGCACTGGATAAGATATAGGCCAAAAGTCCAACGAAATATGCACTTGATGGTGGTCACTTTGAAAGAGCTAAATTATTGAAAATACATTTTTAGGGACTATAATTACTATTAAACTTGTAATAAATGTTTTCTACATTCATAAATTATTTACATAGTGACAGAAAAATGTCTGATTTTAATTAATCTCTAATTTGTAAATCGTAATTTGAGAAATTAACCTAACAATCTAACTTTTTTATGATAGAAAATGTATATTTGAATACATATACAAACAAATATTTAAATTGTATTTTATTTACTAATAATTTTAATAATTTTGCAATACTACTTTTGCATATGTAAGAAACTGATCTTTTTCAACAATATTAAAAATACATGTAAGTAGATTGTTTGGGAATTGTAACAAAATAAGCATTATTTTTAGAATTATTTATGTAAGTTATCTTTTTTAATTAATACATACTCTTCTGTAAACATATAACATGAAAATGTCAAATTAATGCTTATTTTTCAATTTTGTATTAAAGAATAGACTCTATTTTTCTTATTTAATTTACATATACACACCTAACTAACAATGAATAAAGGTATAAAAACAGTTCTATCAAAGTTCTACTTTCTTATGAAGAGTATAACATACTTTGACTTACTTTTTCACAAAAAGCTTTTCATCGTTTTTTTGGCACCATGTTTACAGCGAATGAAGACTTTTTAACATTTAAATATTCAGAAAAATGGGGTAGTAGTTACTGTTCTTCTCATTATTTTCAAAAAAATTGCATACAGATGTATCTTTACTTGATAAAAGCTAAAATTAATTCAATATTTCTGAAAGTTGGCCGTTTTATTTTTTATTTTTCATTTAGTACATATGAAGGGCAAGAGGAAAAAACAGACTGTCACAAAACCGACTTACTAAGAAAATTGAGTTTATAATTAATAATATTACCAAATCGTATATTACAGTCATAGTAATAAATATAACCGCACGTTAATATTCTTAACGTAATTTATTACTATAAAGTTAAATTCTTACAAAATAATTTAAACGTAAGATTATATTCAGGTTAAAAAAAAAAAGTAAACGTGACAAATAACTTATATAAAAGGAATGATTTTCATTTTAAAACTAACCTAAAATAAACAGATATTCATCTGTATAACAATGTTTCTTAAAATTCGTTAGTATTTGGGTGACAAAATCGTTTTAGTACTTGCAAATCGTTGTATTTAGTCTGGACAACGTCGGTTTTTTTCCAGTAGTGCGAGGACACGTCTGTTTTTAACCATTATGATTATTTTTAAACGCCTTATTACTCGATCTCCTTTGTTTTATTAGCTTACAATTTAGCATGGGTTTGGGACTCGGTATCACCAACATAAAAGTTGATTACTTAAAAATTCCTATAAAATGGACATCGTTGGTTTTTTCCCCATACTCTTCATATATTAACGACCTCTGGAGGATTTTTAGAACTATAGGTTAGGGACATGTTTTTCAGAGAATTAAAACATCTATAATAACTGTCATCTACCGAGACCAAGTCTAAAATAACTCGTGAGCGTACAATATGTAGTTTCCAGAAAAGTAGATTTTAATATTTTTTCAATAGTTATTAGGGAGTGGAAAATAAAATGACAATTAACATGTTTATTATTATTAAATTGACCGTAATTATGGAACTTAGAGGATTTTTTTATAAAAGATAAACAATACTGGACTTAATCGCTTTAGTTATCATGAGTTTGCAAAAAATGGACTTATACGCCCGCCAAAAGCTATGGAATTCTGATGTAAACTGACAAGTGATATACCAGTCATGTCCGTGATAGCTACAAACGTCTCTGGATTAAATCCAAAATGTTATTTAAAAAAGAAGGACATGCATAATTTTTTCCATGAGAAACATTTTTTTGTGAATCACTCCATATAAGCTTTAGATCAACTACATAAATTATTTGTAATATTAGAACAATTTTTTTAAGAATATAAAGAAAGTAAAGCTCAGAAGAATCTTTCAATTTTCTATAAATAAAAAAGAAAAGAAATAATATGAAAATGTCTTACCATCATTAGAAAATGTAGTTATTGTAGGTGCTTGCACAGTTCCCAGAGGCCACAAACCTCTTTGAGTGGGTACGCCTGATCCACTTGGGCTACCCAACATTGTTGCTCCAGCCTATGAAAATCTGTAATAAATAGTAATATGTAAGTAAGAAGGTTTTAAATGTATCACTTACGGACTTTTGCACCTCTAGTCGTTAAGAAATAAGCGAAGATTAAAATGACATTGTTAATGAAAAAACTAAATTTAAGCTTGGCTTACTTCTTAACTACTAGCAGAGCAAATGAACCTTAGTGGTATAAGAGAGACATTCATAACAAAAGTTCAATCTTTTCTTTTTTCAGTGAGATCAAACAATAATTTTAAATAGTATCTAAAACCACTGCTTTAAACTATTAGGCCATTTTATGCGAAGAAAATAAATTGTTTTACAGAAATTTTGTTCAAGGGACTTTTAAATACTTTTAATGAATTGAACAAGAACACTTTGGACCAAATTCCACAAAGAGCTTTTTTTATTTTTACTGAGACCCTCAATCTATGGAGCATTGAATTGCGTTCATGCCTACGAAAATATTTTCTTGCTCTGACAGTTTAACATTTTTCTTCAAGCCTAAAACTGTTGATTTTCAGAATTTTCGGTTTAACTTTATTGCAACGAATTTCTTATGGTACCTATTTTATGTAGGGTCAATATGGGTAATTGGAAACAGGGGCAATTGAAAACACCTCCAATAAATCACTTAAAAATACACTTGGCAACAGTGCATTGTAAGTGATAGATTCTCAAGGGTCCTGTGGGAATCACGCCATTTTCCCTTGCACGCCAGAACTGTTTGTTTACAAGCTGTTGCTAAAGCAATTTTTTTATGTTTTTAATCCTGACTGTTGGTTTTAATAGTGTTTAAAAAATTGAAAATTTTGGCGACATATTTCAGGTAAATTTTATATTCATTCTATGACAGGCTATTTATAAGAGATTAATCCATCTGTAATTATTACTTTTGAGGTTATTTAAACTATTATGGTTTTTTGGGCTGTGTTTACATTTACCCCGAATAAACCTCGATAGGGGGTAAATGAAAACACCAGCTGGGGGTAAATGAGAAAACCACAGTAATGGCTGATCTCTTCCATCTTTTCTAGATCTATGCTATGTCATATTACTAATAGAATATGGCAAATAACTATGTTAAAAAGCAGGACCGACCCCTCTATACTTTAAAAGATTTGGCCAGTGCTGTTAATGATGTAATAGAGAATAAAAAACTTATAGGGTGGCTAGCGATTTTTACGGTATTCCAATATCTGTTATTTATAATAGGATTAATAGTAAAAGTGCCAATTGATAAAATGGGGGCTGGTGTTTCCCCAACAGTGCCTATGAAGGTTGAAAATCACATTGTTTTTTGCTTAAAAACGTAAGCAAAAATGGGTTATCCCCATAATAAGTCCATTATTTCATTTGCATGAAAAGTTACATGTACCCAATTACCCCCGAAAACTGTTTTTTTCTTAATAATCCTGGGGTAAAAGAGAACGAGCAATATTAAGGAAAAAACAACTAATATGTCAGTTAATCATATAAAAATATGTTGCTTAAGGTATAACTTCGCAGCTATGGCATGTATTTTGCACTAAAAAACAGTTATTTGTTTTAAATTCGTATTTAATTTGCCAAAAACATGAACTTTAAATCGTTTCCAATTACCCACATTGACCCTACTGTGACATGGTTACTGATTTCACTAGATTTATGAAATGTAAAACCTGAGGGGTAAACCACCTTGGAATTATGGTGTACAAATTGATGTAATTCAAGTTAAAATGTTTTTATTGTTGAAGAATTAATTACATACTTATTAACAAAAATAGATAACATAAAGAAGTTAAAAACAAAAAGTTTGTTTATTTATGAATAACTTGGACGGCGTTGCCACTCTTGAAATATATTCTGGAGTTCCTTGTCCAGACAGCCTTGTGCCTATATTTATTCTTGGCAGTTAAGAATAATTTATGTAACCTGGGTGTCAATTCTTCGTTGATAAAGACATTGGATCCTCTAAGTGATGAACGTTTTTGGTAGATTTCATTTCAGTTTAATGAGGACACAAAATGTACAATAACAGCTCTAGCTTTAGATAAATGTTTCAAAGAATCTCTTTTCCCAACTCTGGACACATTAACAATTTTAAACAGTGCACATTTAATATTTAGGCCTTGGTTAAATAATGTCAATATTTTTGTCATTATGTCCTCATTTTCTTCATCTTTGATCCTTATAATTATTAGTTTATTTTCAAATGACCTTTGTTCTTCTTTCTCTTGTTTAGTTATTATATTATCGATTTTTCTATCATTAAATTCAGCATGATCTCTTAGCTCTCCAAAACCACATGATATGTTAGTAAGTTCTGACTCACTTAACTGCTATTTTCTGCCTAGTTCGTCGATTTTCGTCTTAATATTATCAACTTTATTTTCCAATAAAGTCAGTTTTGAGATCATGCTCCTGTGCTCCATTGTATCTATTTTGTTGCTTAGTTTTTCCATGTATTCTTCAAGTTTGGGTGTGAATTTAGGTGCTAACTCATTAAATATTGATTCAATCATTGTTTCTTTCATCCCCAAAATGTTTACACTTCTTTGGCTCATTTCTAAAGATCAAATTTAAATTTTATCTGGCAACACTGTTAGGAATGTACACAGCTGATAAAAGTGCAGTTTTATTGATTATGTTATGTTTTTCTTACAATTTTTATATCACAAATATTCTTTATAGTTTATTCAACACCACACCAAGTTTTAAATTTAACTGATTTTTATAAAATTCTTAAGAGCTCACACTGACAATGGACAATGTTTACAGTGCAACCATTATCCACTATTATTCATGATTAATGAACTTTGAAATAAATAGTTACATTTAAGTAAATTGAATAATACAAAATAAAACGCTTTGTTTCTGATTTTATTCACATTAAATTTTAACTAAAAATTGCCTAGTAGTTGGTTCTAGATATCTGAATTTGAAGTAAAGTATTTAAGGGTATAAGTTACAGGAGCACCAGTCATTGGGACTGGTCTGGCCAGTGATTGGGAAAAGAGGAGAGTTCAGAAGAGTAGACAATTGAAGTAAGTAATCAGTATTATATGGTAGATGATCTAGTGTATGTTGATATACAGTTCTTATTTTGTATTAGGCGTAGCTGTGCTTTTACAGAGAACATGTGGCAACTGCGATATCCCCGCTATCTCTATTCTCTTAGCTTTGTGTCTCACATTTGGTTTGGCTAATATCCCACCACCTTATTTTCTAATTCTAGTCGACTTGTATACTAGTCCTATGCCCAACACGAAAAAATATGCACTATATATCCTTAATATGCAAGACAGTAAAATTGGAGACATAAATTAGAAGTATAACTTTTATCTAAATGGCATTGTGTGAACAATATTTGAAATTACTAACTTAAGTATTTGAGTCTAATATATCTCAAGGAATGGTAGGTATATTACTTCTTACCAAATTTTTTAAAATCATCCTCTAAATAATTGAATAAATATTGTTTGATGAACTACTTAATTGGAAAATTAAACAAATTTAGTAAACCAAATTCTACTGTAGGGTACCTATATCAAAATTGCAAAATAATTCAAATAAAGTGTGACCATCTAAATAATCCATCTAAAGGATATAAGTATTGGACTAATTAGGAAATTAACATGGTGAAAATTATCTCAGTGGGAGGGTCAACCTAAATAAATAAGTTAATTTATCTAATTTTTAATCATCATTAATCAAATTTACTGACTTTCTTCATTAAAATGAGCTTTTATGGACAAAATACGAAAAGAAGATAATTAATTACCTGGGTATAATTTGCATAAGTTCGTACATACCAATTTTCAGAGTATTCTATTTTTTAATTAAGTTTGGTCAGTCTTTTCACTCGTTGCACTTTTAGTTCAGGAGTTTTTGAAAGTTTCATTACAACACTAAAATAACATAAGTATTCAACTAGTTCTCAAACAAAAAAAAAATATGAAAAAATAACCACTGACGCAACACAATAATCATTCCAACAAAATTAACGTTCAACTTAATATAAGTATTTTAATCACAAAATATCCTTAACAGGGATCAAAATTCTGTATTTTTAACAGTAACACTGTTAGGACGCTCATTTTACATATATTTATTTTGTTATCGGAAATCAAATCACAAATGTCATAAAAGGTGCTTACTGAACAAGGTAAGTAATAAATGAAGAAGTTGCCAACATAACGTAAATGCAGTGTTGCCACAAGCTTCTCTTCAATTCTCCAAAACGCGCGAGATTCTTCGCTCAAGACGAGAAATAGTATTTTTTTTTATAAAATAAAAAATTCCCGTCGGTAAATACTTATAAACTACAGTCCCTGTTCGGCAATTCAAGTCCAATGTTAATTAAACACGCTTGAATTTCTTAAATATCATAGGGATTTTAAGTATTTGAAAAAAATTATATTCTCTTGCCCATTGGCGACACTGCATAAATATAGGAACATCAAACGCCAACTTGTCAACGTTTTGAAAATGGAAAATTACTGGGGGGCTATTTTCAAAGTATAGGAGCACCACATACTTTGATTAATATACGAGGCAAGAGAGAGGTCAGACACGCCCAACATAGGGCGCGGCCATTTTGAACCCTGTGACACAGTTTACAGCTAAAGAGTCAGATCGCTCACTCTGCGTCGGCACTTTTGATCTCAATGTTTCAGTTTATACACTGTGCAACTCGGATAATACAATATATGACAACCGCCTATAATAAAACAGTAGTCTTCTGCGTGTCCTGAATTTGTATCCCTGGAGTGGATGTTATTTTGGAACTTTCAACTGGTCCGAGTGAGCTAACTGATTCTTTAGCAATAAACTGTGACTTCAAAAATAATATTTACTGACACTGACAGCAGCAAGAAAAATATCAGATCAGGTGCGTTTTAATCATCCGCTTCTGCTTCCGGAATTGTCAGTTTAGTCGTTTTAACCTGTCAGATTAAAACAAGAAAACCGACAATTCCGAAGCAGAAGCGGATGAAAACGCACCTATTAAAAATATTGCGCCAAGATATAGGC